TCTCTGGGTCTCTGTCCCCCTCTCCCTGGGTCCCTGTCCCCCTCTCTCTGGGTCCCTCTCCCCCTCTCTCTGGGTCTCTGTCTCCCTCTCTCTGGTCTCTGTCCCCCTCTCTCTGGTCTCTGTCCCCCTCTCTCTCTGGGTCCCTGTCCCCCTCTCTCTGGGTCCCTGTCCTCTCTCCCTGGTCCGTGTCCCCTCTCTCACGTGTCCCCTCCCCGCAGCTGAACTCCTTCGAGCAGCTCTGCATCAACTACACCAACGAGAAGCTGCAGCAGCTGTTCAACCACACCATGTTCATCCTGGAGCAGGAGGAGTACCAGCGCGAGGGCATCCCCTGGACCTTCCTCGACTTCGGCCTCGACCTGCAGCCCTGCATCGACCTCATCGAGCGGCCGGTGAGCCCGGGCTCCCCCGCCCCCGCCCCCCCCACCCGCGTGACCCTGGTCAGCGCCTCACCCGCTGGCCTCGGGCCACTCCGTCAGTTACATGGGGAAAATGACGGCGCCCGCTTCACAGATCTGTGTGACCACTGGATGGTCAGGACCCGGAACGTGCCTCCCACAAGGCCTGGCTCGAATCAAGTTGCTAGTTACGTCTGTAACTGTAACTGTTATTCTCACATTTGGTTGTATGTCCATGTGTCACTTAACAAGAGCTAAACATTAGCAGCAACCTAAGTGTCCAGTATTTGGGGATCTGACTTGCTCTCCCCCTCCTGTTGATGGTCAGGCTAACCCCCCTGGACTCCTGGCCCTGCTGGACGAGGAGTGCTGGTTCCCGAAGGCCACAGACAAGTCCTTCGTAGAGAAGGTGGCCCAGGAGCAGGGCGGCCACCCCAAGTTCCAGCGGCCGAGGAACCTGCGGGACCAGGCCGACTTCAGTGTCCTGCACTATGCGGGCAAGGTAGGCAGCCGGGGCCAGCCTTGAGGCATGTGGGCAGGAGTGGGGACCACTTGGCTCCAGGTGTGGGGAGGTTGCAGAGGGAAAGCAGAGGCCACCTGCTGACCACTGGGATGACACACTGTCGGGGCAGGGGCTAGGAAAGCCCAAGGAAGAGTGTGGACTCTGATGCAGTCAGCAAAGTCTTCCTCAAGGAGGGGCTATTTGCAGTAGGTTTTGAGGGATGGATAGGAGTTCACTAGGAGGAGAATTATTTGCATTTTACTCGCTCATTTGGCAAACATGTGCCTTTTGTGTGCTGAGCAAAGCTGGGGACTCAAGTCAGACATGGTTTCCGTCCTGACAACATTCCTTATCTTGAGAGGGAGACAAATAGACCATTAGGATATAAGGCTGATAGGTGCTTTAATGGAGGCAGCTAAGGGTAGTGTCAAAGTCCAGAGGAGGAATGCCAAGGAAGGTTTCACAGGGGAGGGTAATGCTTGATCTGAAATCAAGGTACAGCAAACATTTTCTGTAAAGGGCCAGATAGTAAATAGTTTCAGCTTTGTGGGCCGGACAGTCTCTGCCACAAATTCTGCTATTGCAGTGTGAAAGGAGCCACAGGTAACACGTAAACGAAGGCTGGATGCCAGTAAAACTTTATTTACAAGAGGAAGTGACAGGCTGGATGTGGTCTGTGGGCTGTGGTTTGCCAACCCCTGCTCTAAATGATGCGTAACAGGTAGCCAGCAAAGGATGGGTGAAGGATGGGAAGGGCTCTCCAGGCAGAGGGAACAGCATACACAAAGGCTGGGAGGCAGGAGGCCCTTACGTTCTGCGTCTAGCACTCGGTTCATTTCCCTAAGATTTTCTAAGACCTCCTGTGTCCCCAGCCCCGTGCTGGGCTAGGAGTCAGGCCTGGGCCCTGGCCTCAGGGAGACCCTGTCTTTGAGAATTGTGGTGGTCCACATCGTGACTCTGTGGGAGCCTCAAAGCAAAGCCCTGAGTCCTGGGAAGGAACCAGCTGTGTGAAAATCCACGGTGAGGGAATTCCAGGCAGTGGGAATGGCACAGGTAGAAACTCTGAGGTGGAAATGAGCTTGAGTGTTTGAGGAACAGCAAGGAGCCAGTGAGTGGAGTAGGACGGATCAGGAAGGACATGGTGGTGGTTGAGGTCATCGAGGTGGGTCCAGTGGTAAAGGGAGGAGGCCCTGGTGGTGGAGGGTGCAGCTCAGGATATGGACACAAGGTGGCACCAATGCTCTCTCGTCCATGGTGAGCCCCAGAGCTGGGCGTCTCAAAGCTTCTGGGAGGCTCCTTGGGCTATCGGGAGAGAGGGGACCTGCAAGTTCACCAACCCCCAATGCCTGACTTCATTCAGGTTGACTACAAGGCCAATGAGTGGCTGATGAAAAACATGGACCCCCTGAATGACAGCGTTGCAACTCTGCTGCACCAGAGCACGGACCGGCTAACAGCGGAGATCTGGAAAGATGGTAAGGACCAGCTTCCCCTGGCCCCATCCCTGGAACGCTATGCATCCTTTCTCCCACCCCACAGTGTGAGCACCTTTGTTTCAGAGACCGAGTTCTGAACTCGAGTTGTCTGCTCAGGTGCAGAATTAATGCAGGCAGGCCAGACAGTCTCGCAATAGTGTTTCCAATTAGTGATTGGTTGACTGATTGATTGGTACCTCAAGCCAGCATCACACTCAATGATAAAACATTCCCCCTTAATCAGAAACCAAACAAGGATGCCCACTGTCAGCACTGCTGTTAAAAACTGTTTTTGTGATACTAGCCTATGCAATCACACTAGAAAAAGAAATAAGTATATGAATGTTGTAAAGGAAGAGGTAAACTTATTATTTGTAGAGGGCATGTGATCCCTAAAAAAAATCAAGAACTTTGGCTGAAAAATAGTTAATAACAACAAGAGAACTCAGAAGGGTGGTGTTGTACAAATTAGTCAACTTTTAGGCTCTGCTTCCTTACAAAGTTCCCTTCAGGGGCCCAGGGAAGAAGAAAGGAGCAACAGACCAAAAATTTTTTTGGAGAGTTTTTCTGCTCCAACCAGGCCCATGTGAATTTGGCCATCAGTCTCTTCCAAATGACACTTGTAGGAAGCCAGAGCAGAAAAATCCAATGCCTGTGTGGTGGGATCTGGTACTTTTCCAAGCCATGTCTGCCGCCCTCCATCCTTGAAGGAGGTTTGAGAGATGTTTTTATACAACTAGCAGGACCAGCATCTTGATCTTTTCCAAGTCCAGGTTTCCAAAATGTGTCAGTTTGCCTTAATCTTTTATTGAAGTGATAAGCATAGTCGTAGAAGTGCCCGCCCATGCAATTAGACAAGAGAACAAAATAAGCACGTTGAGTGGCTCCCAAAACAAACTCATAGAGCGAAAGGGCCTGGGGTGCCTTAATAGTGTGAGCTGGTTTTAGAAAGAGGAATTTGACGTTTGTGTCTCGTGTGGTTTACACCATACACTGGTATGAAAGCAGTGTTGGATGTTCAGCCACAGAACCAGATTCTGCTATGAGAATCGTCTCCTTTAGACTGAAAATATCCTCCTTAAACTTCTTTAAAATTTGTGCCCCATTCATGGGCCGTGATGCCCCCCACTAATTCCTCACACGCCTCGCCCCATATGTGCCTGGCTCTTGAAGGGTCCCAAGAAAGAACTAGGAGCTGCAAAGCCTCTTGAGTCCTAGACTAGGACCTGGCACAGAGTTACTTCTTCCACAATTCTCCCGAACAAAGCAGTCACAAGGCCTGGGCTCAAGGAGCTACAAGTCACAGGGAGGGTGGGGAATTGGGGCCATTTCTGCATCAATCTCTTCTACAGCTTCCCTGAGCCCAGAGTTGGGTGCCCAACATCCTGGCAGCCCAGGGGAAAAGTCAGATGAGACGAGCTCTCCTCAGAGAGGCAAATGCAACAAACTGAGTGGGAGCATTGAGTTAGTCTTTGAGCTTCCTGGCAGCCAGGGTAAAAAGGGATATCTGATAAAGCAGATACAGACTCAACCTCTAGGGGGAGAGATTTTTGCCCCTGGCACTAAATTCTCACAGAGGATATTCATCTTTTCAGCCAACACTGATGCCCTCGGTGGGTAGACACAAAGGTGAACAAGACAGTCTCTCTGGCTTTAAAAGTTCACGGCCAACATTCGAGTCTTCCCTCCTGCTTTGCTCTGTGCTGTTGACTAATAACCCTCTCCTCTTTTTCTCTTCCTGCTACCTTCTCTCCCTTCTCTCTTCTCATGCTGCTCCCTTTGCATCTCCCCCCCACCTCTCTGCCATCTCCCCCCATCTGTTCTCACCCCCCAGAACACGGGGGCCTCCAACAGTTCTCTTTCCTTGGCTCCTTCCCACCGTCACCCCCAGGATCTTCAGGGAGGTGCGGCTCTGCCACTTCCCCGTCAGGGGGTGGGTGTTGCTGTGCATCAACGGGTGAGATTTGCTGGACGAGGAGGGTGGGCCTGTTGCAGTGGGAACCTGGTGTTGAACATCTGTCCCCTCTCCTCTTGTAAGGAGGCCCCTCACTCTTCTTCCTCCTTGTCGGCTCCCTCAGCAATTTCCAGACCCTTTGTAGCAGCACAACGCTTTCTTCTAGCTAAATGGCATGTAAAAGCACAAACAACTGTGATCATTTCTGCGTGCACTTATTGAGCACTTACTGTATGCCGTGCACTGTGCAAAGCTCTTTTATGATTATTAACACATAGAATCCTCCGAACAACCCAAAAAGGTAGATGTTAATACTATTAACCCCATTGTACAAATGAGGAAGTGGAAGCACAGAGAGGTTAAGTCACCAGCCTGAGGTCACACAGCCAGTAAGTGGCAAAGCTGGGATTTGAACCCAGGACGTTAAGTCCCAGAACCACTGTGCTATAGTAACTTAATAAGTGATGATTATCATTTTGATAATAAGTGGGAGTATGGCGGGGGGAGGGAGTGTGGAACTGGGGGGCGAGGATGGGAAATGTCATATTTGAGCCTCCGCTGTGCATCAGGTCCTGCCCTATGTGTGTATTATCTGATTGACCCCTGAAGCCCCTCGTGAGTGGGGGTTGCAGGAATCAGGTTCTGTCCCGGCCGCAGGCTCCTGAGAAAACTGGCGTGATCCAGTAATAGAATCTGAGGTGAAGGAGTGGGTACTTCTCACCAGCTGAAGTGACACCATCAAATGACAACAGAGAAAACAGAGTTACACTCAGTCAGGCCTCTTGGGAAAAATGGTTGATATGGAGGTAGTTTGCCTTCTTGCAAATATTGCACCTAAAAGCCAGACTTGATTACATTTTTAATGGGACGCTGTTTTGGGTTCCTAAAAATGCAGCTGTGTCGTGTTTGTTATTATCCTGTCCCTCTCTGTGCCTCGGTTTCCTCATCTGTAAAATGGGAGCGATTCTTATGGGCTTACAGATACGCCGACGTATGTGAAATGCTCTGAGCAGAGCCTGGCAGAGAATCAGTGTTAAGAAAGGATCTGCTGTTGTCATCATCATTTTTGATAAGGAAAATGGAGATCATGTCCTTGGAGAGAAGAGGGTCAGAGGCCAGGGTTCGAGAGGACTCCCCTACCTGGGTTCAGGTCCTGGATCCGCAGTTTCTAAGCACAGTCTTCCACCTTTCTGAGCCTCAGTTTGCCCGTCAGTCCACTGGGGCTGGTGATACCTTCCTTACCAAGTTGTGTGAGGTGTTTCATATGTAAAGTGCACAGTCCTATAAATGTGAGACCCTTGACCTTTGGCCAACACAGCCCCCTAAAACTGACTCCTGACCCCCTTCTCTCTCCACATCTGTTTTTTCGTCGCACAGTGGAGGGCATCGTGGGGCTGGAGCAGGTGAGCAGCCTTGGGGACGGCCCGCCAGGTGGCCGCCCCCGCCGAGGCATGTTCCGGACGGTGGGACAGCTCTACAAGGAGTCCCTGAGCCGCCTCATGGCCACACTCAGCAACACCAACCCAAGCTTTGTCCGCTGTATCGTCCCCAACCACGAGAAGAGGGTGAGTGACCGGGCCTGGGGACGGGGGCCGCTCTGGCAAGGGGTAAAGGCCCGGCCGCTGGACTTGGCTGGAGCCACGTCTGGCCCCAGGCTCACCTCTGACTGGCTGTGTGAGTTTGAACGAGTTGCTTCACTCCAAGACTCAGCGGAGCTGTTAGGAAAAGTCATTTGTTCGTGGGACTTATTGAGCGCGTACTGTGTGCCAGGTACTAAGGATACATTAGAGAGAAAAGCACAGCCAACCCCTATTCTCAGGAAGCTCACAGTCTAATGGGGAGCACAGACGTTCAACTAACCACCCACAGTCTGGTTGAGTTTGTTGGGGTGGTAAGTATCACATAAAGTGTGATCTGGTCAGTGAAGTCAGGGAAGGCTGACTTGGAGGAGGTGACTACTGAGCTCTGAAGGATAAGTGGTATTCCAAGCAGAGAACAGCTCATGCAAAGGCCCAGTGGCAGGTCAGAGCATGGAAGGTGCAAGGGATGGAAAGAAGGCTGTTGGGGCTGAGGGTGTCATGTAGGTGTGGGGAGACCATGCCTGGCCTCTCAGGCCACCAAAAGGTTTTCTTATTGGGAAAATCAGAGAATAGGCCTTGCAGAGAAGGGTCAACATGAGTGGAAAATGAGACCACAAAATTAGGTGCCCGAGGCTTACACTATCCTCAGAAAGTAGCAGCCATTATTGGGTGGATGGATCTGTGTGTGTGTGTGTCTCCTTTTTCATGTCTGCAAGTACCATATTTCATCAAATCTAAGACATTTATTTCTCACGCATTAGCATCTCTGAAGTTAGGATGTGGCTCACCATCAGTGGCTTGTCAGAGTTTAATTGACAGGAGGTCTTGGTGGTGTTTAAAATAACAGTGTGTTTTACAATTGACGGTGGCTTATGTTTGGTGAAATACGGCACACAAAGATTCAGCCATTTCTCCAAGGAGCCCTGGTTCTTTTTAGTGGAGAATGGTGCATAGACCCCAACATCTGGTGACAGATGTGCTCAGTGGTATTAGGGTGTCACTCCCAGGACCTCTCCGTAAACAGAGCTATGTACACACACAAAGGTACATACATGCACACACGTGTATACACATGTACATACATATTTACACATATATTTACTTCTATAACTATATATTGAAACCCCTGAGTTCTCACCAGTATGTCAAGTTCCAATCCAACATCACAGAGTTCATGCTAACTTTTTCCCTCTACAAACTTGTAACTCTTTTTTGCAACAATGAGAAATCTGGGTCCTATAACATATGTATTTACTTATTTTCTCAGTCCCCTTTTATGTAATCAATCTCCTGACCCTACTGATCGCTTCACCATGCAAACCTGCCAAATCTTTTGTCAAAGGGTGGGGTGGAGCAAGGAAAGAAGGAAAGGAGAAAACAAAGCATTATTGTGAGACTGTACCATGTATTATTTCCAATTTCCTGCTGTTTTCAGTTGTTTCCTTGGCACTCTTTTTATTGTGAGAGTCAACTAAGATAGCTTAAGCAAAACTGAGAATGTATAGATTCACATAATTAAAAATTCCATGATCAGGTTCAGGTATGGCTGGATCCAGGTGCTCAAATCATGGTGTTAGGACTCTTTTTCCTTTGCTTGGCTCTGCTTTTCTATGTGTTGCCTTCACTCTGACTCTCTCTCTTCTCAGGGTGGCAAGGTGGCCACCAGTGGCTCCAGGCTTGCTTTCTCCCAGTTCAGCAACCCTAAGGAAAAGAGAGAGCCTCTTGCCCCAGTGAGGCTAGCAAAAGTCCCAGGGCTGGCTCTCGTTGGCTCAGGATGGGTCTTGTGCCCGCCCCTGAACCGGTCACTGTGATTGGCCAGGCCTGGGTCACATGACCACCCATGGAGCCAGGATGAGATCAGTCCTAGCCACTCGTGGACAAAGCCTTATTACCAAGGAATAGGGAACATGTACAGTGATAGATAAACAGAAAATCCCTTTTATTGGGACATAAACAACCTGAGGGCAGTGGCTTTTATCTCCGTTTTCACTGCTGGGTCCCCAGTGCCCAGAACAGTGTGTGTTATACTGTGGATACAATAAATGTTTGATGGCTGCATAAATATAAGATATATATGCTTAGATAGCCCTAGAGAAAGATCCAGAATGGTGGTTCCCGTGTTTTAGTCCCCACTCCCCAGAGATTCAGATTCTGCCCTGGGCTGGGGCCCAGGTGTTTTTTGTTTTTGTTTTTGTTTTTTTTAAGCTTCCCAGGGGACACCAGGGTGTAGCCTGGGTTGAGATCAACTGATCTAGAAGGTTCCATAAGAAACTGGGGATTGTGTTGACAGTTCTGGGGGCCTGGGCAAGGCAAAATGCCTCTTTTGGAATGTATCATTTGAATTTTTGTAGTGTTTAGATTTTTAACATTTGTATACTACTTTTGGGAAAAAAAACAATTAAAAAAGAAAAGGCAACCCAAGTCAGCTACCAAAAATAATGATGGATGGGGCAATTCAGCCCTCCCTCCCTGCTGCTCTTTTCTCCTTAGCACTTTTTATCTATTTATTTCCGACGTTTATCAGTGATTTCTTGATGTCATTTATTGTCGGTCTCTCCCACTGGACTGTGAGCCCCCCCCAGGGCAGGCATTTCTGCCTGGCATGTAGTAGGTGCTCAGTAAGTTATAGGTTGAGCCATATGAAATTGACAACCATCTTTGACCTGCCAAAACGGCCGTGCCACCTGGTTTCCCCTGATGGCGGTGGTCCCGTGCGTGGCGCCCCCGTGTGGCCGCCCCAGAACCCGCCCCGTGCCTGGCGCCCCCGTGTGGCCGCCCCAGAACCCGCCCCGTGCCTGGCGCCCCCGTGTGGCCGCCCCAGAACCCGCCCCGTGCGTGGCGCCCCCGTGTGGCTGCCACTGACCCTGCATCTCCGACCCGTTCTCCGCAGGCCGGGAAGCTGGAGCCGAAGCTCGTGCTGGACCAGCTGCGCTGTAACGGCGTCCTGGAGGGCATCCGCATCTGTCGCCAGGGCTTCCCCAACCGCATCCTCTTCCAAGAGTTCCGGCAGCGGTGAGTGGGGTGAGGGGTGGCGTGGGGCTCGGGTTTGGAAGTCACTATACCCACATCCAAATCCCCCACTTCTATTTCTGAGCCAGGGACTCTGGGCAAGTTCCTCTGGTCCCTGAGTGTCACCTTCTCCTCTGTGATATGGGAGAGCAGGACCCCACTCAGGGCGCTCCCTGAGCGAGAGGGCATAGCGTGCTAGGTTGCAATCAGCGTGTTGCATCGGTATTTCTTTAAAAATGCAGTCGAATGGGACAGAACACAAAATATCAAAGTATAAGATGCAATTAATATGGTAAATACTATAACAAAAATTATGCTTCACACAGCTGTATATTAGCAGCGCCGTCCATTAGAAATAGAACGTGAGCCCCGTGTACAATTTAAAATTTTCTAGTAGCCATATTTTTAAAAGCAAAAAGAAAACAGGAGAAATTAGTGTTAACGAGATATTTTATTCAACCCTATACATGCAAGATATTAGATCATTTTAACACGTGATCAATACAAAAAATTAGTAGTGAGATACCGTGCGTTCTTTTTTTCCTATCTTGTCTTTGAAATGTGGTGTGTGTCTTACACCCACGGCACATCTCAGTTCTGACACTGAATTTCCAATGGTCACAGTGAAATGTCCTCTCGAAACAGTGAAGGTGTGTTTAACAGAAAAATATTTGACGCAGCTTCAGTTTTTAAATTTAAATTTCACTTAGTTAAAATTAAATACAATTAAAAATCCAGTTTCTCCATCGCCCAGGCCACATTTCAAGGGCTCAATAGTTCCATGTGGCCAGCAGCTGCTGTCTTGGACAGTGCAGGTCTCGAGTTTGCTACTCAAAGTGTGGTCTCCGGACCAGCAGACTCAGCATCACCTGGCAGCTTATCAGAAATGCAGAGTCCAGGCCTCACCCCAGACTTACTGAATAAGGATCTGCATTTTCTTTTTCTTTCTTTTTTTTTTTTTTTGCTGAGGAAGATTGGCCCTGAGCTAACATCTGTGCCAATCTTCTATTTTATATGTGGGTCACTGCCACAGCATGGCTGAGGAGTGGTGTAGGTCTGCACCCGGGAACCAAACCTGGGCCGCCCAAGTGGAGCATGCCGAATTTAATCACTAGGCCACAGGGCCGGCCCTTGGATCTGCATTTTAACAAGATCCATGGTGATTGAGAAACTCTAATACACACGCACACATAAACACACACAAGTTTCTCAATCACCAGTCATAAAATATGGCATATTAACATATGACCTAAATATTATGTATATGACATGTGTGTATGTGTATATGTATTTTATATATAATATGCCTCATTTTTTATGAAATGTCGAGATCCAGGGAGTGGACATGGCAGGGGAAAGGCTCTGAGGACAGACACATATGTGTTTATGAAATATATTTTTTATTCTGAGTTGCATTCAGAAATTTGAAAGAAACCGCTGTAAAGTACTTATCTCGGGGCCTGACACAAATGAGTATCAGAAACATCAGCCTCTATTTGGTGTTACTCTCACATTTCCATTCTGAGACACACCTTTGTTTTCTGTCTCAATGAAATACGGTGGTGGTGTAACACACTCGTAATCAGCACGTGGTAAGTCCAAGGGGTGGGAGCTTGTATGGTCGATGTTGACGGTGGTGGTGGTGTTAATGCTCTTAGCCCGGTGGGTGGCGCTCGGAAGTGCTCGAATGTTCGTTTTTCTTGTGTTCTTATTATCTTGTTGTTGTTGCTATTTGTCACTGAGCCCGTGCGCTGGTGGCAGGAGCTCAGTGACAGTTTGCTGTAACTCTCCACCCCCCGCCCCTCCTCGCCCCCTGCAGATACGAGATCCTGACGCCCAATGCCATCCCCAAGGGCTTTATGGATGGGAAGCAGGCCTGTGAGAAGATGGTGAGTGTGGGGCAGAGCCCAGCAGGTGCAGGTGTGCATGTGTGCATGTGTGCATGTGGAAGGTGGTGGAAGATGGGGCTGGGACCTGCCCCCTCATCGCCCCTCCTCTCCATCACCCCACCCCCACCCCTTGCAGATCCAGGCCCTGGAACTGGACCCCAACCTCTACCGTGTGGGACAGAGCAAGATCTTCTTCAGGGCGGGGGTCCTGGCCCAGCTGGAGGAGGAGCGGGACCTGAAGGTCACAGACATCATCGTGTCCTTCCAGGCAGCGGCACGGGGATACCTGGCTCGCAGGTGGGCACCACGCTGTCTCCTGGGGTCCTGCTGGCCAAGACTGGGGCAAGGAGGGGTTGACCAGATGGCCCCAGAGGCTGGGTCAGGGAGGGTTGACCAGATGGGCCCAGAGGCTGGGTCAGGGAGGGTTGACCAGATGGCCCCATAGGCTGGGTCATGGAGAGTTGAGCTGATGGCTCCAGAGGCTGGGTCACGGAGGGTTGAGCTGATGGCCCCAGAGGCTGGGTCAAGGAGGGGTTCACCAGATGGCCCCAGAGGCTGGGTCAGGGAGGG